AACAATTTGCTTTTGTATAATGTTATTATTATTAGCAGTATTATTTATTATATCCATATTTATATTTGTTTTATTAAAAACAAGCTTAGATTTGCCCACCTGTCAGGTTTTAGACCATAAGGGGCACATCATGTGTTTGAGGATATAACTCAGGTTTTTGGAGACATTTTGTTGTTATTATTCATGTATTCGTTTGCTGGAAATTAGAACTGAATTTAGAAATAGTTTTGAAACGAATATTTGCGCTTAACAAATGCAATTTATTATCTGTCTGTGCGTAAAGGTTTCCCTATCCAAGAGTGAAAGTGAAAGTAGTTCCATTATCTCTCATTCTCACGCAGTAGATGCTCTGTTTAACAGTTTTCTGTTAAAAAACTGTTAACTGTTTGCTTGTGAAATGCTCATTTTTTTCACTTAGACTTACTTTGCGTCCTGTAAATAGCGAATGCGCTCTTGGCGCGATGCAGCTGACTCTTAAAGGTAATGGGAGATGGGACTCTAATTGGTTTATTCTCAAAACACACCTATAACTCATTAAGAAAATAAACTCAACCTCCTTCAACTTTCAAACTCAACTTTCCTTCAGTCGGCTGGTGTGTGACTGGATGCTGCGGAACCGAGTGTAGCAGAGAATCTAAATCCATGCACACAAACACACGCTCTTTGTTGGCAATGTCCGTGCGGTCACTTATCCATCGATGAACAAAAGTAATGTAAAATTAAAATTTTCGTAATTTAAAAAAAATATTTGCATAGTGACCAGCAGGAAAACTCCTGATCATAGAAATATGTATATATGTGTATATATCTCTGGCTCTGAATGGTCAGTTCTCCCCTGCACCTTGGTCTCACATTCATTTCAAAGGAGCGCTTTTCTTTGGATATCTTTTCTGCTGGACATACTGTTGTCCTAACAAACTAAAAAATAAATTAAAAAAAGCTAATAAAAAATCTTACACATACCATAGGAACGATATTACAGAAAATTTGGACGGTTTTAAAACCTTGACTTTTCCAAACCGCGGTATACCTTGAAAACGCTTATCATCCCATGCCTACTCACAATTGTATTATTATTATATGTCAAACTAGGCTTCTCTTTTTTTTTCACCTGCAAAATTTCAATCAGCAATCAGGGTTCAACGCTAAGGATTTTCCCGACTGGCCCGATTGGACCAGTGGCTTAAATTTTTACTTGCCCTGCCAAAATTTTCACTAACCACATTTTCATTTTTCATTTTCTTGTCGGCTTAGTCCCTTTATTAATCCGGGGTCGCCACAGCGGAATGAACCGCCAACTTATCCAGCAAGTTTTTACGAAGCGGATGCCCTTCCAGCCGCAACCCATCTCTGGGAATCATCCACACACACACATTCACACACACACTTATACACTACGGACAATTTTAGCCTACCCAATTCACCTGTACCGCATGTCTTTGGACTGTGGGGGAAACCGGAGCACCCGGAGGAAACCCACGCGAAGGCAGGGAGAACATGCAAACTCCACACAGAAACGCCAACTGAGCCGAGATTCGAACCAGCGACCTTCTTGCTGTGAGGCGACAGCAAAACCTACTGCTTCACAGCCTCGCCCCCAAAATATATATAATATAATAATATACACAAAATAACGTCTGTGAATCTAGAATTTAAATATTTGAAAAATGTCATAATTTCATGTTATGTTGCCGTCTATAAAATTTAGTAACAAGGCAGCACTGCCCCGATCGGATCAGTAACGATTCTGTCTACTGTCCCAAACATTTCCCATGCTGACCCCGGGCCATCGAGCAGTCCTTATTGTTGAGCCCTGGTAATAGTAAATGTGGCCTCGTCTTAAAAGGAATATACTCTCCCATTATCAATAACTACAGTGTTATATGAAATATTGGTATGCAAATTGGAACACAGACAAATTCACAACATTCTGAAGTTCAAAGTTCTGCCTGAAGAAAAACTCCTGACAAAACAGAAAGCACCAGTGAAAATGCTTCCGTCTTGCATTCCTTTATAATTTACTTCTCCGCTACAAATGATATTTTCACAGCAGAACAATTTGACTGAATTGTATTTGTTTTTGCTGCAATAACAATTGTCCAAAGGAGTTCAAATTAACAAATGTTTCTATTTCGTTAGCACAAGATAGCATCATCTTCCTATTAAGTGACTTTTCCTTGTCAAAATTAAAAATCCGGAAACTTTCTCAGACATTCCGGAGCCTGCCGTATCTCCCACTTGCTGCAGTGCTCCTGCGCCCCACAATCTCTCCTGTCAGAGGCACTGGAAGCAACGGCACAGAGCAAGAAAATGAAACCGTTTTTCTCAATCAGCCTCAGTGTCATATAAGAGAAAATGAAAATAATGCCTTTAAGGTCCAGGGAATAAACAGAAAGTGTGATAGCAATATGAGGCGCATGGCAGTGCTGTCCTCCCTGATATTACACACACACCCCTGAGACACCCACTCAAGGCCAGTTTCTTATTACTGCTTTCTCCAAACTATTGGAGTGTGTGTGCTGCAGCCCGTTAAAAACAAGCTGTGTGTAATAGAAAAAAAGACAAGACAAAAGCTGCGTTTCTCTAGATACTCAACTTGTGTGTGACGGAGAGAGAAAGAGAGAGGATGGGGTGGAGCTGATTGTATTATGGAACTTGGAGAAAATATAAAAAGAATTTAATTTCTCACTACAAAGTTACAGGAAGAATTACCAAAAGTAAAAGTTATCCACATATATGTATAGATAGTAGTAGTTTTAGGTCCAATCCCAATTAAATGTTTTACCCCTACCTCTTCCCTTTGGCCTTGAAACAGAGAGTATGAAGGGAAAGGGCTTCAAATTTTACCTTCACACGTCATCACAAACTCGTACTTCATATGTGATTGACGATTGCGACTGCTGTAGTTATTCCAGTTGCTGTATTTATATTTGAGAAATCACTGAAGGCAATGATATTATGTTATCATGACAATATAAAGTGGCAATAAGCTCATAACTGTACTGTGCATTTACATCGTGGCCATATTCTTATATATGAAAACAACATTGTCATTATAGCATACACTGTAAAAAACTCATTCACGCCCCATTTACACGAGGCATCAGTGTCAGCGTCGGTGTCAGAGGCATTGCTCGCTGCAAAAGTTGGGACTTGCTCAACTTTTCAAGCGCCAACGGAAGCCTCAACTAATCAGATCGCTGTATGCTAATACACCAGCTCAGACAGTGTGTATTATCAAAATCTAGATTGTGCTTGAAATGGTGTGATTCTAGTTCGTTCTTTGATTCTTGGCCTTTACTGTTGGGGTTAGGTTTACAGTTAGGGTAAGTGGTGAGCTGTTTGGAACTGCCGTAACAAACTCATAAACAACCTAGTTTTGGCTGGATGTAGCTGGAAATGACATGATTTCAGTTTGTTCTTTGATTCTTGGCCTTTATTGTCAGGAGTAGGTTTATGGTTGGGGTAAGTAGTGAGCTATTTAGAACTGCCGTAACAAACTTTTTAACAACTTCCTTTTGGCTGGATTGTGCTTAAAATGGCGTGATTCTAGTTCGTTCTTTGATTCTTTGGCTGTTATGGTCAGGGGTTTAGGGTTGGGGCAAGTGGTGAGCTGTTTCTAACTGCCGAAAACGAACTTATAAACAACTCCCTTTTGGCTAGATTGTGCTTGAAATGGTGTGATTCTAGTTCGTTCTTTGGTTCTTGGCCTTTACTGTTGGGGTTAGGTTTATGGTTGGGGTAAGTGGTGAGCTGTTTCAAACTGCCGTAACAACTTCATAAACAACTTCCTTTTGGCTGGATTGTGCTTGAAATGGCGTGATCCTAGTTCGTTCTTTGATTCTTTGGCTGTTATGATCAGGGGTAGTTTTAGGGTTGGGGTAAGTGGTGAGCTGTTTCTTACTGCCAAAAAAAAACTCATAAACAACTTCCTCTTGGCTGGGTTTTGCTTAAAATGCCATGATTTCAGTTCGTTCTTTAATTCTTGACCTTTACTGTTAGGGTTAAGTTTACAGTTGGGGTATGTAGTGAGCTGTTTCGAACTGCCAAAACAAACTCATAAACAACTTAGATGTGGCTGGATTGTGCTTGAAATGGCGTGATTCTAGTTAGTTCTTCGATTCTTTGGCTGTTATGGTCAGGGGTAGGTTTAGGGTTGGGGTAAGTTGTTAGTTTTTCTAACTGCCAAAATACAACTTATAAACAACTTAGATTTGGCTTAATTTTGCTTGAAATCCCATGATTTCAGTTCATTCTTTGATTCTTGGCCTTTACTGTCAGTGGTAGGTTTAAAGGTTGGGGTAAGTAGTGAGCTGTTTCAAACTGCCGAAACAAACTCATAAACAACTTCCTTTTAGATGGATTTTGCTTCAAATGGCATAGTTGTTTGTTCTTTCATACTGTTTGGCCTTTACTGTCGGGGTAGGTTTAGCGTTGGGGTAAGTAGTGAGTTGTTTCAAATTCCCTAAAGAAAGTTTAGCTTGAAATGGCATGATTTCAGTTTGTTCTTCGATTCTTTAACCTTTACTTTCAGGGGTAGGTTTAGGGTTGGGGTAAGTGATGACCTGTTTCAAACTGCAGAAACAAACTCATAAACAGCTTCATTTTGGCTGGGTTTAGCTTGAAATGGCATGATTTTAGTTTGTGCTTTAACTCTTTCTCCTTTACTGTCAGCGGTAGGTTTAGGCATGGAGTAAGCGTAGTTAATAAAACATAATTTGTAAAACAAAAAAGAAGAAGAAAAAAATATTGTTCTCCATGTACCATAGCTTCTGGCTGCGGTTGTATCCTTTCTAGCTGCAAACAAATATTGCAGGACACTGAGCTTCCAGGAACAGGCTTGGACATTTTGTTGTAAAAGTTGGACAAGTGTTTTGGAACAACAACAATATAAAAACAACATTAAACTATATTTCAAAAATGCTTTAAAAAAACTTTAGAGGATCTTCACAAGGCCAGTTTAGTTCAATTTTTAGCCCTTAAGTAGCCTGAATGCTTACCTGTTGTGTTGGAGCTCGCTGCTGCATGTAGGGGGGTTGAGAGGGGGCTGCGGACTGCTGTTGTGGAGGGCTGAAATACGGAGGCTGCCCCTGCTGACAGTAGCCACTCATTCCTTGTGGCCCATACTGAGCTGGCATCTGCTGAGAGAAAAGCAGAAAAAACACAAACAAACCTGTCAGACACTTCTCGAATGCTTCGCATGACATGTCACGGCAAGAAGGACTATTACTATTAATCTGAGAAGCATTTTAAATAATGATCCGCCCCGGAACATTAACTGACTACTTAACAATGCTAATCCGATCTGAAACTTCTGCATCTGGGGCGTGACGTCTGGAGGCAGGAATAAAAGATTCTCACAGTGCAGAAGCAGGCGGCGTTCAGAGTTGACAACTATATTTACTAACAGGTGTGACTCTCAAATTTCCCTGTGCCATGTAAAATGACAGAGGCTGAATGTTTTGCACTTTTATGAACAGGAAAATGTAGCTTTGATTTAAAATATGTGTGCCTTTTTGTTGATTTTCAGTATATTTTTTGAACATATAAGCTAGTTAATTGCTTTCATTAAAAGAGAAATTATCATTATGATAAAAAAGGCTGCTGGAGCCAATTCAGCTATTATTTTAAACACAAAAACACCAAATATGGCAGTAAAAAAAAACTAATTAAAAATAAATTCAGCCATCTCTCAGAGACTCACATCTGTGATGACGCAGGCAAAATGATGAATCAGAGATTTAAATCAACCCACTGAAAATGAAAGTTTGGAGTGATTCACAGAAATCAATTACTTTTACTTCGGATGTTCTGGATGTGCAATTAAAATCTCAAAACAGCTCATAAGTCACATGATATGTTTAAATGATGGAAAAAATCAAGTAATTTCTTGAAAAATCCAACATTTCCAACAATACCACAATGTCAGATTGTTTCAACATCTATTTTTGTTTTTCAAATTAAATAGACATTAGATGCTAAATATCATTTTTTGTTATCTCAAACGTGCACAAACTCGATTCACCATTTATCTGTGTGAGAACAACAACCTCACCCTCAACACAGACAAGACCAAGGAGATGATAGTGGACATGAGGAAGGAAAGGAGAACTCATCAGCCACTGTTTATTCGCAAACTTGAAGTGGAAAGAGTGAGCAGTTTTAAATACCTGGGGGTCCACATCAGTGAGGACCTCACCTGGACACTGAACACCACCCAGCTGGTCAAGAAAGCACAACAGCGGCTGTACTTCTTAAGGAAGCTAAGGAAACTCGGTCTGTCATCAAAGATCCTCAGCAACTTTTACAGCTGTGTGGTTGAGAGCATCCTGACCAACTGCATTACTGTATGGTATGGCAACGCTACTGAAAAGGACTGCAAACGTCTGCAGATAGTGGTGAGGACTGCAGAGTAGATCATCAGGTCCCCACTGCCTTCTCTGCAGACTATCTACCATCACAGAGTCCACAAGAGAACTGCCTCCATCCTGAAAGACCCCACTCATCCACAACACGGATTATTCACACTCCTACCCTCAGGGCGGAGGTATAGGAGTGTGAGATGCAGGACTGCCAGACTCAAGAACTCTTTCTTCCCATCAGCTATCAGACTTCTATACAGATAACCAACGTACATAACAGTCTCTTTTTCAGCTCAGTACAACACTACATACTCCATCCCATTTTGCACTATTTTATTCTTTATTCTTTTTTTTGCACATAATCCAATTGCACTAGGCACTTTTTGCATAATAAGCACAATAAAATTTTTTTTAAAAAACACTGTACATTGTTTACATCTGTTTCATTACTCAAATCAGGTTTACATATTGTTTACTTTCATAGATATTTATATACTTACATTTTACATTCAATCTTCGGTCACTTCTGTGTATATATGTGTATTTATAGGTATGTTGTGTATGATGTGTATGTTGTGTGTATGACTTCACTGTGGACGGCAAAGTAAGAATCTCATTGTACAGGGAGACGTGTTTCCTTACTGTGCACATGACAATAAACAGTTGAATTGAATTTATTTATTTTTTATTGGTGTTTAACAAGACAATACATCATAGTATACAATACAACAAAGAAAAAAATACAGATTGTCTTATTTTTCTTATTTTCCCACTATCCCCTCAAAATTAAATAAATAAAATGTATGAATTATAAACAAACATTTCCTCTGAAAGACAAAAATAATAATAATAAATTAAAAATACAATTAAAATAAAAAATCTTTAAAAAAATAAATAAATGAGCAAGTGTACAATAAGAGCAAAAAATAAATAAATTAAAAAGTTCACATTAAGGAGTCAATATATCCTCTTTACTATTACTGTGCATTAGATCTGATATCAACTGAACAGGGTAAGCCTTTGATGTAGTCTAAGGGTGCTTTCCTTACCTTACCTAGACTTTTGTTTCGGAACCTGTCTCGTTTACCCAGTTAGCGCGGTTCGTTTGACATATGTGAATCCAAAAATCGTGCTAGGATCTGCACCAAATCAATCGCTCCGAGATCCCCTGAATGAGGTGGTCTCGGCTCGATTGAAACGAACTCTAGAGCGGATAGATTGTAGTGAGAAAGCAAACGATCCGAGCCCGGTTATATCACAGTGTATTATGGATATGTAAAAGGCATACGGCTATATGAGGAGAGAATTATGAGTAGGGCAGTCTCCTGGAACTTTCAGGAGTCTCCTGCAAATGCAGAGACTCTCGCATGCCTGCAAACGAGTGATAATCTCTCGGAAATTGCGCGACTTCTCCCGGTCCTCAAATACGTCAAGCACCTGTCTCACCCCTCCCCACCACATCCCTCCTCGCTCTTCAGACACGTCGCGCACACCTTGTCAAACACCACCAAACCACCACCCCCTGACAGCTGAGCGGGACTCTGCAAAATAAACCGTGAAACTCTGACCAATGTGAGGTGAGTTTACTCACACGTGACTTGTTTTAGTTATTTTGGTCCGTTTAGAAACTTTGCAGTGTGAAAGCGAACAGCTCCAAGAGCAAAGAGCAACAATGTAACAATAGTGATCCCTGTTTCCGAACAGCTGAATCGATTCACAGGTGTGAAAGCACCCTATAACAGGGTTCCAGGTCTTGTAAAAAGACTTGAGAGATCCTGCAAGTAAACATCTTGATTCACCATTTCTGATTCTCCACCCAAACACTAATCAGTGGGTGTTTGTCTCTTTCCTGAACACAATATACTGTTATTTTCAGTCGTTTTTCAGCCTGAGAGAGGTTGACAGCTCTAACATTAGTGAATGACAGCAAAGAATACTCCGCTAAATGCTCATATCGGGCAACAGAAAGGTAGTTGTCAACAAAATAAGTTGTTGATACAGCTTGCAGAAACCAAATATGCCCTCAAATATCAGTTTTAAAGTAGGGCAGCAATGTCTATTTTATAAAAAAAATAGAATAGTCAACAAATCTATGCAATTGTTAATTATTTGTGCCTATGCGCTAAATAACAGCAATAAATTGACTTCAAAATCATGAATAACACAATAGAGTATATCTGAAAATTAGATGATATAAGAAAAACTGCAGTCCTAAACACTGACTATGTATTCTATTAAGCAGATATTTTAACACAATTTGCCATCAAGTACTTTGATTCGAGTATTTATTTTGTATTTATAAAAATAGTGGTCAGGTCATTACGTAATGCTGGTGGAGGTAAACATTTCCTGACTCTCTCCTCCAAAACACCCCAAAGTGGCTCAATAATATTTAGATCTGGTGAGTGTGCAGGCCATGGGATCTTGACGTGCGAATGAAGCGAATTTGATGCGTGAATGAATCGAATTTGGCGTGTGAATAAAGCGGATTTGATGCGTGAATAAAGCAAATTTGACGTTCGAATAAAGCAAATTTGATGCGGGAATAAAGCAAATTTGACGTACGAATAAAGAGAATTTGATGCGTGAATGAAGCGAATTTGTTGCGTGAATGAAGCGAATTTGGCGTGTGAATGAAGCGAATTTGATGCGTGAATAAAGCAAATTTGACGTGCGAATAAAGCAAATTTGATGCGGGAATAAAGCAAATTTGACGTACGAATAAAGCGAATTTGATGCGTGAATGAAGCTAATTTGTTGCGTGAATGAAGCGAATTTGGCGTGTGAATGAAGCGAATTTGATGCGTGAATAAAGCAAATTTGACGTGCGAATAAAGCAAATTTGATGCGGGAATAAAGCAAATTTGACGTACGAATAAAGAGAATTTGATGCGTGAATGAAGCGAATTTGATGCGTGAATTAAGCGAATGTGATGCGTGAAAGAAGCGAATTTGATGTGTGAATGAAGCGAATTTGATGCGTGAATAAAGCGAATTTAATTTGCGAATTAAGTGACTTTGATGCGTGAATGAAGCGAATGTGATGCGTGAAAGAAGCTAATTTGATGCACGAATGATGCGAATTTGATGCACGAATGAAGCAAATTTAACTTGTGAATGAAGCAAATTTGATGCGTGGATGAAGCGAATTTGATGCGCGAATGATGGGAATTTGATGCACGAATGAAGCAAATTTAATTTGTGAATGAAGCAAATTTGATGCGTGGATGAAGCGAATTTGATGCGCGAATGAATCGAATTTAATGTGCGAATTTGACGCACGAATGAGGCAGATTTGATGTGCAAATGAAGCAAATTGGATACACGAATGAAGAGAATTTGATGCGCAAATTTCATGCACGAAAGAAACAAGTTTGATACACGAATTTAACTTGTGAATGACGTAAATTTGACGCACAAATAAAGTGAGTTTGACGCATGAAGCGAATTTGACATGTGAAGTGAATTTGATGCACCAGTGAAGCGAATATGACGCGCGAATTTGACGCGCAAATGAAGCCAATTTGGCGTGCAAATGAAGCAAATTTGATGTGTGAATGGAGCAACTTTGATGCGTGAATGAAGCAAATTTGATGTGCGAATGAAGCGAATTTGATGCAAGAATGAAGTGAATTTAACATGCAAAGCGATTAAACCAAAAAAAAAATTATTTACGAGTAAATAGTGCAATTTATTCCAGCGTTCCGCGTCTGGTGTGAACAATGTGGTTTGTTGATATTACCCTGGATATCACTCTTGATGTATTACAAAGATTTGCT